CTCTCCCGTCTCCCTCTCTCTCCGTCTCCCTCTCCCTCTCTCTCCGTCTCCCTCGTCCCTCTCTCTCCGTGCTCCCTCTCCCTCTCTCTCCGTCTCTCTCTCTCTCATCTCCGTTCCTCTCCCTTCTCCCTATACCTCTCCGTCTCCCTCTCCCTTCTCCTCCTCTCCGTCTACCTGTCCGTCTTCCATCCTCGCGCGGTGCTCCCTGCTACGCAGCGAGATCCGACTCGAGTCCATGTTCGTACACCTCATGCACCTCCTCTCTCCTCATCCCGAGGTCTCCTCATCATTCACGACATCTCCCTCGTCACCTGCTCAGCATCGCAGGATGACGAGTCCGAGTCTATCGATCCCTCTCTTCCGTCGTCCACTCGTCCCTCTCAATGCTCCTGGTCTCCGTTCCCTCTCTCTCCGTCTCCACTCGTCCCGCTCTCTCAGTCCTCCCTCTCCTCTCTTCGTAGCACCGTCTCCGTTTGCCCTTTCTCTCTACCGTTTCCACCCTCTCGCTTTCTCAGATGCAAGTCGCCCTCTGAGAGAGAGAGAGAGGAGAAGAGAGTCAGCACAGATTTTGTAGCACGACGTCTCACCTCGTTCGCAGCACGTACGTCTCTATCGCGACGGTAGCGTCCCTCTCCCTCTCTCTTACGTCCTACCCTCGCCCTCATCAATATGTCCGTCTACCCGCTCAATCAAAACTCTCGTCTCGAGTGCCTCCCTCTCAGCACTCGTCGTACTCGCCGGTCTCGCGTCTCACTCTGAGAGACGTAGAGAGAGAGTCATCGTCACGCGATTTCCGCGCACTAGCTCAGTCTCCGTCTCCGCAAATCTCGCCTCTCTCTACGTACCTCTCCTTCTCCTCTTCGGCTCCCGTCTCCACCGTTGCCCTCTCTCTCTGTCCAACACGAAGGTCTCCCAGTCTACGTCTCCGTCTCCCCTCAGTCCCATGCGTACTCCGTCTAAAATCTCGCCTCCTACTCCGCACGAGGAGAGTCTCAACTCTGCAGCCTACCGGTCTCGCAGTCTCCGACTGCCGTCATCCCGTCTCGCTCTCTCTCCGTTCCTTACTCCTCCTACTCGCGTCTCCCTCTCCGCAGTCGTCTGTCAGTCACGCAAAGAGAGGTACGAACCCTGCCTACTCGCCGATCTCGCCTCAGTCCCAATCCGTCTCGCGTCGTAATACTGCTCTCACGAGTGATCTCCGTCGTCCACGACTCGTCAGGATCTCGACTCGACGTCTCCCTCTCCCTACTCCACCTCGCTCTCACCTGCTCTAATCGGCAGTACGAGTAACCAGTATCGCTACGACGTCTCAGCTGATCGAATGCTACCGTCACGATGCCTTCTCCATCGCTGACCACAATCTACCTTCTCACAGATCTCTCGAGTGATGCTCACTTGCTTCACGCATAACATGACGCTACGTACTCTAGATTCTCTCGCCTCTGTCCTCACTGCGACGCATGAGATCGAAAGAAAGATGACTAGGACAGATCGTCATTTCACTTACCTGCCCCTCAGGAACACATAGGCAAGATCATACGTACGCCACTGTACGTGCACCGTCACGAGAAGATGCTATGTGACCGAGCGAGTATGTCCCATAGCATGACGAGGATTCTACGTTCAGGAGAAAGAGAGAGGCAGAGGAGCACCTGGAAGCAGCCAGAGGTAATTACGTCACATCCTCGAGACCGACGAGAGTTAGACTCGGGAGGAGCAGGATCGTACCGAGCATCGATAAGAGAGACGAGAGAGAGAGACGCTAGTATGCAGAATGTCACCGTCCCTCAGATCCTCTCGACTGCTCCCTCTCCCAGCAGTAGAGAGAGCACGAGCAGTCTAGCCATGCTACGCCACGCAGCTCGCACGAGAGTCAGACGCAGTATTCTGCCGCGTCTACGAACGGTCACAATCCACTACTCTCACAGAGGAGTCACGATGACGGGATCCCTGGCGAGGAGAGACACCGCACCGATGACGCAGAGGCAGGGAGTGTTAGAGAGCAGAGGAGAGAGAGAGAAGATACATCGAGACTGCCCACAGTATAACGTAGGCACAGAGACGACGAGATGAGAGAACTCAGATCCGAGTAGGAACTGACGCACGCATGCTCAGCAGAAAGAGATGGAGAGAGAGAAGAGAATAGACGAGAGGAGAGAGAGAATCAGCTAGCACAGAGGAGGACGTCACGCCACAATATGTACGACGCACGCAGATGCTGAAGCCAGAAGTCAGCAGAGGCAGATCGAGAGCTAGAACAGCTCTACGAGAGGAGAGTAGAGCCAGAGAGAGTAGCATGCACGACGCTATCCGTACGAGATCACGTACGTAGAGCAGAGAGAGAGCAGTGAGTATGCAGCACTGGAGAGAGAAGAGAGATGCAGAGAAGCCAGAGAAACACGAGAGAGAGATGAAAATGAGAAGAACGAGAGATATCCGGTCATCGAAACTGCATGCCACGAGCAGATCGACGAGCACATGCAAGAGAGAGTCAGTCGCCACGCACGTCATCAACGTCGATCGCGACGAGAGAACGAGAACAGAGAGAGTAGACGAGTGCACGAGAGCATACACTACACCGTACGTACGCAGAAAGCTCGATGAGAGAGATCAACCGCGATGTAGCACTGTTCATGACGACGAGATGCATCGAGAACAAGAGAGAGACCAGAGTACGAGAGAAAGAGAGATATGTCAGATGCGAGCAGATACGACGAGTCCACTGAGCACGTACAACGAGCAAGTACGAGCATCGAGACGGAGATTAGACGAGAGCACGAGGATCGCCAGAGACGTACTCGAAGAGAGAGCACGCAGATCGAGACGAGAGAGAGCATAGGCCGTCAGGGGGGCGTCGGGAGAGTACGCTCAGATGTCACGTCTGTCACGAGCACTCTGCAGAGCCTGCGGGTGCGCTGAGAAAGTCTCCCTCTCCCTCTCTCTGCCGTCTCCCTCTCCCTCTCTCTCCGTCTCCTCTCTCTCCTCCCCGTCTCCTCTCCCTTTCTCTCAGTCTCCCTCTCCCTCTCTCCCGTCTCCGTCTCCCTCTCTCTCCGTTCCCTCTCCCTCTCTTTTCCGTCTCCCCTCTCCTCCTCTCCGTCTCCCTCTCCCTCTCTCTCCCTCTCCCTCCCCTCTCCCTCTCCTCTCTCTCCCTCTCCGTCTCCCTTCCCTCTCTCTCCCTCTCCGTCTCCCCTCTCCCTCTCCTCCTCTCCGTCTCCGTCTCCGTCTCCCTCTCCCTCCTCTCCGTCTCCCTCTCCCTCCCTCCCTCTCCCTCTCCCCTCCCTCTCCTCCTCTCCTCTCTCCCGTTCCCTCTCCTCTCTCCTCTCCCTCTCTCCCTCTCTCCGTCTCTCCTCTCCCTCTCTCTCTGTCACCGTCTCCCTCTCTCTCCGTCTCCTCTCCCTCCGTTCCGTCTATCTCTCTCCGTCTCCGTCTCCTCTCCCTCCGTCTCCGTCTCCCTCCGTCTCCGTCTCCCTCGTCTCCGTCTCCCTCCGTCTCCGTCTCCCTCTCTCTCCGTCTCCGTCTCCCTCTCTCTCCGTTTCCCCTCTCCCCCTCTCGTCTCTCCCTCTCCTTCTCCGTCTCCCTCTCTCTCCTCTCGTCTCCTCCCTCTCTCCGTCTCCGCTCTCTCTCTCTCGTCTCCCTCCTCTCGTCTCCTCCCTCTCTCTCTGTCTCCGTCTCCCTCTCCTCTCTCCTCTCTCTTCTCTCTCTCCCTCTCCCTCTCTCTCTCTCCCTCTCCCTCTCTCTCCCTCTCCTCTCTCTCTCTCTCTCTCCCTCTCCTTCTCTCTCTCTCTCTTCTTCCTCTCCTTCTCTCTCTCTCTCCTCTTCCTCTCCTTCTCTCTCTCTCTCTTTCTCCTCTCTCTCTCCTCTCTCTCTCTCTCTCTCTCCTCTCTCCCTCTCCCTTCTCTCTCCTCTCCCTCTCTCTCTTTCTCCCTCTCCTTCTCTCTCCCTCTCCTTCTCTCTCCATCTCCCTCTTTCTCCATCTCCCTCTTTCTCCCTCTCCCTTTCCCTCTCCCTCTCCCTTCCCTCTCCCTCTCCCTCTCCCTCTCCCTCTCCCTCTCCCTCTCCCTCTCCCTCTCTCTCCCTCTCCCTTTTCCCTTTCCCTTCCCTCTCCCTCTCCCTCTCCCTCTCTCTCCCTCTCTTTCTGCCAATAGACATGATGCAGTCCTGAGTTCTGCTCAGTGTGCTTTGGTAGTCATAAATCTAGCCATTGTGGTGCTAGGGATAGTTTTTTGAGCTGGCATTTTTTCCAGCAAAATATACAGTTCGTCGAGTTACCTGAACCAAAGTTTTTTTTTTATGGCCTTCCTTCCTTCTCACATATTTCTATCTCTTCCTTTCTCTAATAACTCCTCAACTTTTTCCTTCACTTCAAGCCTACTTTATTCCTTCATATTCTCCCTTCCTTTCCAGACTCTTTTTCTGCCTCTCTCTCTCATTTCACTTACTCCCTTCCTCTACCACCCAGAGGAGGGGAACCAGGGTTCTGAAATGGGGAGCTACCTCCCTTCCTTCCCTTCTGACTTCCTTTTCCTCCACTTTCATTCTTTCCTACCTTACCTCCCTTCTTTACTTTCCTTCCTCCCCTTTTATCCTCCGTTTCCTTCATTCTTTCCTATCCTTTTTCTCTTTTCCTTCCTTCTTTCCTTTCCCTTTTTCCCTTTTCTCTTTTCCTTGATTCTTTCCTTTCTCTTTTTCTCCTTTTTGCTTTGCTTTGCTTTGCTTTGCTTTGCTTTGCTTTGCTTTGCTTTGTTTTGCTTTACTTTACTTTTTATTTCTTTTTTTTTTTTTATTCTGTTTCATTCCATTCCATTCCATTCCACTCAGTTCTGTTCACTTCACTTCCCCCTCACAACTACCTTCCCCTTTACACTTACCTTGCTTGGCCTGTGGAGCGAGCCCTGGAATGCAGTTCTCCCGTTCCTGCACACGAGCCTTTGCAGCAGCAACATCTGTGGGATTCAGCCCAACCGGATACTCTGATCGGCTCTTAGCCCATTGCTTGCCTTTGCTCTCATAACTGTAACAGCAATTGGATTTGCGTCAAAGCCCCTCACATGAATAGTGATTATGTTGCTTTATATCAAAATACAAATATATGTATCAGACATAAATATCACTATATACACAAGCATGGAACACTACAAAAAAACGCACACACACATATACATGAACACACATTGCCTACAGACTTGTATGCAAATACAGCCATACATACAAATAAAGAATACTATACTAACATGCAAACACACACACACAAAACCTCCTGGCCCAATACACTGTCCTTTGAACCCCAAAGAGCCATAACCAACTCACAGTGGCATCTCCTCCTGTGGCACATATCCATCCTTGACACGTCGTGCCTTCCGCCATGTTCCATCTGGCCGCTGTGAAGGAGGGATAAAGCACTGCCCTGCAACAAACAAAGACTTTCAATAACGAACATATGCTTTAGGAGATGAGTGCCTTCTTAAATCATAAACTTTTGTAATTTTTAGCATCTAACTGATCTTCAGTACTACATATGAAAATTATCTGTTTTATAAAAATAAAAATATCTAGCACTCCACAATTTCATTAAAAAAATTAAAAAAATACTAATGCTTAATCAACTAGAATTCCTTAAAATGAAATCTGAATATCAGAGATTCCTAAAAAGGCATACTCAGTAACTATCATAATTATAATGATTATAGCTAGGAAAAGGAAGATCAAAATCACAATCCTAAAACAGATAATGTATGCAAAACAAATTGTTCAACCTTAAAATAATAAATATTCAGTTCATGGTAATATTTCATCTAAAATTCTAAAAACTTGACAATTTCATAAGCTCTACTATTACCATTGTCAGCTGCATCTTTTGTAATAGTGACAAAGCCTCTAAACTTTACCTTACAATATCAAGTACTTGTTTCTGCTTTTGAAATGAGGTACAAAGGAGAAATTTTCAAAAACACAGGTAGTTCATTTCCAGAGATGTGCTGTAGTGAAAACTGCAACCCAAAATTAGCTTTTAAAAAAAGTCATAATTGAAAAACAGCTTATGGTGAATGGCATTAAAAAACAACAACAAAATCAATAACTATAACAATAATCATAATGATAACAATAATGATAATATTAATATTAGTATTAATAATAACAATAACAATAATAATAATAATGATGATAAAAAAAAAAATAATAATAAAAAAATAAAAAAATAATAACAATAACAATAACAATAACAATAACAATAACAATAACAATAACAATAACAATAATAACAATAACAATAACAATAACAATAACAATAACAATAACAATAACAATAATAATAATAATAATAATAATAATAATAATAATAATGATAATGATAATGATAATATAATATATGATAATGATAATGATAATAATATAATATAATGATAATGATAATATATGATAATATAATATAATAATAATAATAATAATAATAATAATAATAATAATAATAATAATAATAATAATAATAATAATAATAAATAATAATAATAATAATAATAATAATAATAATAATAATAATAATAGTAAATAACAGAAAATATAAAATAAAGGGGTTATTCTAAAACACAAAAAATATACAAAAGTTTGACTTTCATGGAAATAATATACTCATACTATGAAAGCAGATTTTTGGCTATGAATACATCAAATATAATAGAAAAATATGAAAAATATGTTGCGTCACATACGCTGTGACAGCAGCACGTGCTGCACAGATAGCTCTGTCACAGACGCTGTTATGATTATGATTATATGATTATGATTATATGATTATGATTATATGATTATATGATTATATGATTATATGATTGATTATATGATTATATGATTATATGATTATATGATTATATGATTATATGATTATATATTATATGATTATATGATTATATGATTATATTATGATATATGATTTATATGATTATATGATTATATGATTATATGATTATATGATTATATGATTATATGATTATTATTATATGATTATATGATTATATGATTATATGATTATATGATTATATGATTATATGATTATATGATTATATGATTATATGATTATATGATGATTATATGATTATTGATTATATGATTATATGATTATATGATTATATGATTATATGATGATTATATTGATTATATGATTATATGATTATATGATTATATGATTATATGATTATATGATTATATGATTATATGATTATATGATTATATGATTATATGATTATATGATTATATGATTATATGATTATATGATTATATGATTATATGATTATATGATTATATGATTATATGATTATATGATTATATGATTATATGATATATGATTATATGATTATATGATATGATTATATGATTATATGATTATATGATTATGATTATATGATTATATGATTATATGATTATATGATTATATGATTATATGATTATATGATTATTGATTATATGATTATATGATTATATGATTATATGATTATATGATTATATGATTATATGATTATATATTATATGATTATATGATTATATGATTATATATTATATGATTATATGATTATATGATTATATGATTATATGATTTATATGATTATATGATTATATGATTATATGATTATATGATTATATGATTATATGATTATATGATTATATGATTATATATGATGATTATATGATTATATGATTATATGATATATATGATTTATATGATATATGATTATATGATTATATGATTATATGATTATATGATTATATGATTATATGATTATATGATTATTGATTATATGATTATATGATTATATGATTATATGATTATATGATTATATGATTATATGATTATATGATTATATGATATATTATATGATTATATGATTATATGATTATATGATTATATATGATATATTATATGATTATATGATTATATGATTATATGATTATATGATTTATAATGATTATATGATTGATTATATGATTATATGATTATATGATTATATGATTATATGATTATAATTTATATGATTATATGATTATATTGATTATATGATTATATGATTATATGATTATATGATTATATGATTATATGATTATATGATTATATGATTATATGATTATATGATTATATGATTATATGATTATATGATTATATGATTATATGATTATATGATTATATGATTATATGATTATATGATTATATGATTATATGATTATATGATTATATGATTATATGATTATATGATTATATGATTATATGATTATGATTATGATTATGATTATGATTATGATTATGATTATGATTATGATTATGATTATGATTATGATTATGATTATTGATTATAATTATAATTCTAATTATAATTANTCCCTCTCTTCCTCTTTCTCGTTCCTCTTTCGGTTTTCCCTCGTTCCCTCTTCCCTCTGTTTCCTCCTCGCTTCTCTTTCTGTTTCCGTTTCCCTCGTTCCCTTCTCTTCCTCTTTCTGTTTCCGTTTCCCTTCGTTCCCTCTCTTCCTCTTTCTGTTTCCGTTTCCCTCGTTCCCTCTTTCCTCTTTCGTTTCCGTTTCTCCTGTTTCCGTTTCCCTCTCTTCCTCTTTCTGTTTCCGTTTCCCTCGTTCCCCTCTCTTCCTCTTTTTCTGTTTCGTTTCCCTCGTTCCCTCTCTTTCCTCTTTCGTTTCCGTTTCCCTCGTTCCCTCTCTTCCTCTTTCTGTTTCCGTTTCCCTCGTTCCCTCTCTTCCTCTTTCTGTTGCCCTTACTTCCTCTCCTTCTCTTCTGTCCCCTCCTCTCTCTCTGTTTGTGTGTCCTACTCTCTCTTTTTTTTCTTCATCTCGCGTTTCGCTTCTCTTTCTCTCTCCCTCTCTTTCTTTCATTCATTCTTTCTTTATTTTTATCTATCTCTCACTCATTCTCACTCTCTATCTATCTATCTATCTATCTGTATATCTATCTATCTATCTATATATCTATCTATCTATCTATCTATCTATCTTTCTATCGCTCGCTTGCTCGCTCACTGACTCACTGACTGACTCACTGACTGACTCACTGACTGCACTCACTGACTGACTGACTCACTCTCCACTCCCTTCACTCTCTCACTCTCTCTCTCTCTCTCTCTCTCTCTCTCTCTCTCTCTCTCTCTCTCTCTCTCTCTCTCTCTCTCTCCTCTCTCTCTCTCTCTCCTCTCTCTCTCTCTCTCCTCTCACTCTCTCTCTCTCTCTCTCCCTCCCTCTCTCCCTCTCTCTCGTTTATATCTTCTCTCCTCCTCTCCCTCACCTTCCCACTCTCCCTCTCCTCCCCTCCCTCCCTCTTCTCCCTCCACTTCCGTCTCCATCTCCTTGGGAATCTCGGATCACGGGAATATGAACCCTAATGAAATATTCATCTTTGTTATGCCCTTTATCTCTCTCGTGGGTTACATGTACGAGTGTGTCTGTCTGTGCGAATTGTGCGGGTTTCGTGGGCGTACATGGATGGTGTTGTCGCGGGTGTGCGTGTTTGTGTGTGTAGTGTGCGTGGTGTGTGTTGTAATGTGTGTGTAATGTGTGTGTGTGTGTTGTGTGTGTGTGGTGTGAGTTTTTGTGTGTCGTTTTATGTGTGTGTTGTGTGTGTGTGTGTGTGCTGTGTGTGTGTGTGTGTGTGTGTGTGTGTGTGTGTGTGTGTGTGTGTGTGTGTTTGTGTGTGTGTGTGTGTGTCTAGTGTGTGTGAATGTGTGTGTGTGTGTATGTGCGTGTGTGTGTGCGTGCGTGTATACATCCTCGCGATTGTGCAAGTATACCCACCTCCTTGCGTCTCCGTATGTGTACGTGTGCGGGTGTGCGTGCGTATGTTGTACGTGTGCGGGGTGTGTGCGTATGTGTACGTGTGCGGGTGTGCGTGCGTATGTGCGTAATGGGCACAAGTTGGGAGTCTGAGGCCGCACACAGAGCAGCGAGCGAGAGCCGAGACGTGGAGACTTCTTAAAGGGGGAGAACAAGGCCGTCTTCCTTGTGCCAGCGGCGGCGCGCTCACGTCTCAATCTAGACGGATCTGAGGAGTTCATTTTGCTTATTATTATTGTTTTTTTGAAGGTTTTGTGTTTGGTTGGAATTTTTTTTCTTTGCTTTTTCTTTGTGTTCTGTTTGAAGATTTTGTGTTTGGTTGTTTTCTTTTCTTTCTTTTCTTTTGTGTTCTGTTTGGACGATTTTGTGTTTGGTTAGAGTTTTCTTTATATTGTTTCTGTTGTTTTTTATATATTTCTGTATGGGGGAGGAGAGAGAATTTTGGTTGGATTTTTCTTTTTTCTTTTCTTTATATTCTGTTTTTTTTTTTTTTTTTTTTTTTTTATTCTGAATGAGGGAGGAGGGGGGGGGGGAGGGGGAGTTACTGCTACTCTTTCTGTATTATGCTTTTTGTGTTGGTTTTCTTTTTTAATATATGAAGTTGTCTTTGTGTTAACCGTTGGACTTATGGGTCCTTTTCCTGTTCCATCTCTACGACCCCGTACTTCATCTCTCCATCCTTTGTACCCTCTTCTTGTCCTCCACTCTCCTCTTTCTCTTCGTTCGTCATCCTCCGGTTCCTCCTGCCTCTCTTCCCCCTCTTCTTCTTCTTCTTCTTCTTCTTCTTCTTCTTCTTCTTCTTCCTCCTCCTCCCCTTCACTACTCCTCTTCTTCTTCCTTCTCCTTCTCCTTCCCTTCCTTTCCTGGCCCTCCGTTTTCTCTTTCTCCCTTTTTACCCTCTCTTCCCCCTCCCCTTCATCCCCATTCTCCCCTCCCTTTCTCCATCCCATTTCTTCCCGCTTCTTCCCCCTCCCTTCTTCCATCCCCATTTCCCCGTTTCTTTCCCTCCCTTCTTCCATCCCCATTCTCCCGTTCTTCCCCTCCCCCTTTTCCATCCCCATTCTCCCGTTCTTCCCCTCCCCCTTTCTTCCATCCCATTCTCCCGCCTTCCCCTTTCCCTTCTTCCATTCCCCATTCTCCCGTTCTTCCCCCTCCCCCTTCTTCCATCCCCATTCTCCCGTTCTTCCTCCCTCCCTTCTTCCATCCCCATTCTCCCGTTCTTCCCCTCCCCCTTCTTCCATCCCATTCTCCCTCCCCCTCCCCTTCTTCCACCCCATTCTCCTCTCTTCCCCTCCCTTCTTCCATCCCCATTCTCCTGTTTCTTCCCTCCCTTCTTCCATCCCCATTTCTCCCGTTCTTCCCCTCCCTTCTTCCATCCCCATTCTCCTGTTCTTCCCCTCCCTTCTTCCATCCCCATTCTCCTGTTCCCCCTCCCCTTCTTCCCCCCATCTCCATTCCATCCCCATCTCTCCCGTTCTTCCCCCTCCCCTTCTCCATCCCCATTCTCCCGTTCTTCCCCCCTCCCTTCTTCCATCCCCATTCTCCCGTTCTTCCCCCTCCCCTTCTTCCATCCCCATTCTCCCTTCTTCCCCCTCCCTTCTTCCATCCCCAATTCTCCCGTTCTTCCTCCCCTTCTTCCATCCCCATTCTCCCGTTCTTTCCCCTCCCTTCTTCCATCCCCATTTCTCCCGTTCTTCCCCCTCCTTCTTCCATCCATTCTCCGTTCTTCCCCCTCCCTTCTTCCATCCCCATTCTCCCGTTCTTCCCCCTCCCTTCTTCCATCCCCATTCTCCCGTTCTTCCCCTCCCTTCTTCCATCATTTCTCCCGTTCTTCCCCTCCCCCTTCTTCCATCCCCATCTCCCGTTCTCCCCCTCCCTTCTTCCATCCCCATTCTCCCGTTCTTCCCCTCCCCCTTCTTCCATCCCCATTCTCCCGTTCTTCCCCTCCCTTCTTCCATCCCCATTCTCCCATCCATCCCCATTCTCCCGTTCTTCCCCTCCCTTCTTCCATCCCCATCCCCCATTCTCCCGTTTCCCCTCCCTTCTTCCATCCCCATTCTCCCGTTCTTCCCCCTCCCTTCTTCCATCCCCATTTCCCGTTCTTCCTCCCTTCTGTCCATCCCCATCCATCCCCATTCTTTCCCACCGTTTCTTCCCCTCCCCTTCTTCCATCCCCATTCTCCCCTTCCCCTCCCCTTCTGTTCTTCCCCCTCCCTTCTTCCATCCCCATCTCCCGTTCTTCCCCCCTCCCTTCTCCATCCCCATTCTTCACTCTCTCTCTCTCTGTAGATTACTGCCACGTGCAGCTGGCGAAAAACACAGACATGTCCTTCCTCGGCGGCCCTTCGCGCACGGATGTACGGCCCAACTTTTTTTTTTTGCTTTATTATACCTTTTTTCTTTCTCCTCCTCCCTGTTCTCTTACTCGCCCCTCCTCTCTCTCCTCCTGTTCTCCTACTCAACCCTCGCACTCTCCTCCGCCTCCACATTTTCTCCTGCTCCTCGCCCTCCTCCGCCTCTCCTCGCTGTTCTCCTCCACTGCCTCTCCCTGTTCTCCTACTCACCCCATCCCGCCTCCTCATTTAACCTTGCCTGTCACTCGCCTCCTCCTCCACTGTTCCTCTTCCCTCAGCTCCTCACTTCCTCCTCCTCTCCACCGCCTCCTCCTCTCCTCCTGCTTCCTCGCCCCTCCTCCGACCTCTCATTTTCCTCATCCTCCTCCTCCGCCTCCTCCTCCTCTCCTCTCCTCTCCGCCTCCTCCTCCTCCTCCTCCTCCTGTTCTCCTAATTCTCCCTCCGCTTCCTCCTCCACTTCCTCAGTTTCCTCTGCTCCTCGCCCCTCCACCGCCTCCTCATTTTCTCCTTCTCCTCGCCCACTCCTCCTCGCCTCCTCCTCCTTCCTCCTCCACCGCCTCCTTCCTCCTCCCTCCTCCTCCTCCTCCTCCTCCTCCTCCTCCTTCCTCCTCCTCTCTCCTCCTCCTCGCCCCTCCTTCTCCTCCTCCACCCCGCCTCCTCCTCCTCCTTCCTCCTCCTCCTCCTCCTCCTCCTTCCTCCTCCGCCTCTCCTCCGCCTCCTCGCCCCTCCTCTTCCTCCGCCTTCTCCTCCTCTCCTCCGCTTCTCCTCATCCTCCTGCTCCTCGCCCCCTCCTCCTCTCCGCCTCCTCTCCTCCTCTCGCCCCTTCTCTCTCCTCCTCTCCCTCCTTACCCCCAGCCCCCCACCCCTCCGCCCCTCACTTCATACCTATACCTCTACCTTCTCCTCCCGCTCTTACATCTTCTAAAATTACCTTCACCGTCATCAGAAATATTCCCTACTCCATACCTCACAGTCCACCTCCCTTTTTATTGTTTTTCTTTTTTCTTTTCTCTCTTTCTTTTTGATCCGCCGCGCCCCTCCCCTCCCCCCTTTAATAAATCCGCCCTCTTTCCGTACAGTCCACCCCACGCTTCTTATGCTCCGCCCCTCCTACCTTTCCAATTCGTCTCCCCGGCCTTACACCCCCCTCCCTCCCTCCTGTCTGTGCCCTCCCTCCACCCCCAATCAGCCTCTCCTTTCCTTCCTCCCTCTCCCCCCCCCTTCTTAAATTTCCCCTTCCCCCCACCCCCCACCCCGACCGTCCGTCCTTCCTCCCATTCTCTTGCCTTCCATTAACAACTCCCACCCCACCACCCTTCCTCTGCCTCCTTGTCAGCCCCTCCTTTCTTCCATTCTCTTCCCTCCCAACCCCCCACCCCCCACCCCTCCTTTTCTTCCATTCTCTTCCCCTCCTTACAACTCCACCCCACCTCCCCACCCCTCCTTCCTCCATTTCTCTTCCCCTTCCTTACCAACTCCCCCACCTCCCACCCCTCCTTCCTTCCCATCCTCCCCTCCTTCCTGCCCTCTGTCACAGCCCCCCTTCCTTCTCATTCTCTTCCCCTCCTTTACAACTCCCCCCACCCCCACCTCCACCCCCACCCCCCTCACCCCCACCCCCCTTCCGCCTCTCGTCACAGCCCCTCCTTCCTTCCCATTCTCTTCCCCTCCTTACAACTCCCCTCCCCCCACCTCCACCCCACCCCCTCCTTTCGCCTCCTATCACAGCCCCTCCTTCCTTTCCTGTTCTCTTCCCCTCCCTACAACTCCCCACCCCCACCTCCACCCCATCACCCCTCCTTCTGCTTCCCGTCACAGCCCCTCCTTCCTCCCTATTCTCTTCCCCTCCTTACAACTCCCCCCCCACCCACCTCCACCCCCACCCTCCTTCCGCCTCCCGTCACCCCGCCACGCCTGTCCCCTCACCGCTCCCCCGCGATGGCGATGACGAACGTGGGAATAATTGTTTTATTGTGGTCTAAACGACAGTCGGAAAGGGGGGAGGGGGGGAAGGGGGCTTGGCTTTTTTGGGGGGCTCTGGGTGTTTGTTTGTGGTATTTTTTTCCTGTGGTTCATTCGTTTTGTCTGTCTCTGTTTCTTCTTGTTTCTCTCTCTTCATTAGTCTGTCTCTCTCTCTCTCTCTGTCTGTCTGTCTGTTTGTCTGTCTCTCTCTCTCTTTCTCTCTCCCTCTCCCTCTCCCCCTCTCCCTCTCTCCCTCCTCCCTCCCTCTCCCTCTCCCTCTCCCTCCCTCCTCCCTCCCTCTTCTTCCCCTTCCCATGCATACAATCAGACAACCTCCCCCCCCCCCACACACACACACGAAACACACACACACACACACACACACACACACACACACACACACACACACACACACACACACAACACACACACACACACACACACACACACACAGCACACACACACACACACACACACACACACCACACACACACACACACACACACACACACACACACACCACACACACACACACACACACACAACACACACACACACTCATTTCCAAGTACCTTCGAATCAAGCAGCTGCGAATAGCGTTTAAAAAATATGTCAGCAACAGCGTCTGCTAATGTCACCAGAAACTCTCTGTTGTTTTTGTTTTTGTTTTCTCGGTTGCAGGAGATGTTCGTGGTTCGTTCCGGATCCCAGAAACTCACTGTTGTTTTTTTCTCGGTTGCAGGAGTTCGTGGTTCGTTCCGGTTCCCTCGCGGTGACGTCTTGAGCCGAGGACACCGCCGCAACGTCGTCCTGTGCCACAAGGTGAGTGTTCGTGGTTGTTTTTGAGGTATTTCATTTTTTTTGTTGGGGAGGATTACGATTGTTGTTGCTGTTGTTCTTCTTCT